GGGATGTCCTGGGATGTCCTGGGCGTCTTTCTACTTGATGTGAACTCGAACACTCGCTGATTCCCTCCCTGTCACTTGCTGCCTGCAAGGGATGTGGTGTCACCCCCCGTATATATAATAGTGATATCAAATATTATCAAATACTGTATATTGTACGATAAGCACCAATAAGCACTAAAATATACTAAAATAAAAATACATCTTGGATGAGCATTGCACTCAAAAACAACAAGGACAACATTGGATCTTCCTACTAACTATGCGTGTTTGTAGAGATTCGAATCCTGGCCATTTGCATCTACAATCATCCTGGGGCCTCACCGCCTCTCAAACCACAAACACCTTGCACCCCGCTATGCGCACTTGGATGAAGATCTAACTGTGGCTCCAATACCAGCAACTTGGAGTGTGGTGCAGACCTTTGAGTTCCTATGTTGAAAAATCACCCTCCGGGGATTCCCTCGTCTCGAGGTCAGAGTCAACATGTATAGAGTCACTACCAAGCCCTCCAATTCATCCCAAGTCTAGTTCTCCCCCTAAGTCTCAAGTCAAGGCAAAGACACTTCCTTTCTGGCTGTGGGTCATCTCACTTGGTGGTCTTGGAGCTCTTTCAGATCTACATGGCTGTGGGCTGTGGGTCATGGCACCAGGATACCTTGGTAACAGGACTCGTGGACAGGATCTGAACGCTCCCCACACACCCCTTGATACACTCTGGTACAGTATCGGGTATGAAGGGGGTGAACCGTGAAGTAACAAAACATGTCGTAACCTTGGTTGACCGTTCGCTGGTGGGTTCTTCGTTCGCTACATGGAGGGCTTCAGGTTGAACGACCCATCCCACGTCCTGACCTCCAAAGCGACGAAGGTCGCAGGTCCAGCGAAGTCCGCCGAACGGATCACCCGCAGCAGGGGCTCCTGCAGATCGTCCCGACCAGAAAGGAGCGACAATCTGAGAATATGTGAAAATCATATGAAAATCGATTGAAATCCAACAATCCACATTCTGACAATGCCACTGGGCATTGATGTCAAAATACAACTCATTGGACTAGATTAGACACTCATGACTCATGTACATGTCATGTAGATTGATCACTTGGGGGGGTCATAGTGACTTTCTTGCACATCATTCCACCACTTCGTTCAGGACGACTGGCAGCTTCTTGAAAATAAAGGTCCGAACAGCCCGGCGACAGTCCAGCAGCTCGTTCGGGCCATGTCCTCGACTCGTTTGAGAGGTCAAAAAAGTATCCAATCCTTCAAAACCATTGTCTATGGAAAGAAGTGTTGAAACATGTTCAAGCGAACAGGACCCCCCACCAAGAAAATCTGTTCATCTGTTGCGCTTCCCTCCAGGAGGTACTTTGTGCTGTCCGCATGTCGGTACATTCGGCCGGTCGATGAGCCGTGGCATACATCCCCAGTGTTCCATCAAGCTTTGTCTGTGCCAAAAATCATGGACAATGAAGATAGTCAGCCTGTAGTGATGCGATTGAAGTGGATCTGTGGGGGAGAATGACTACTAAAGCACTTCGTGACAACGTGACATGCAAATCTTCATGTCACACCTTCACCATTTTACAGCCAAGCACTCCCTGGTCGACTCCGTGGTCATTTAGACTTGGAGAAATGTTTGACAAGAGATTCTGGTCGAAAGATTCAGAGTTCCCTCTCAAAGGGGTCTTGTAGACTTGTAGATAAAAGGATTGCAGGGTCAACCCTGTAAAGCTGGGTGCCGTACACTGATGTCACCAGTATGGCAAGCTACCCAAACAGGATACTATAAGACTCCCTATCAATATGTAGCTTCGGGTGGTCGTCAGTGGTAAGCTTAAAGGCCCAGAAATGATCCAGGGTCGAATTCCAAACTGGCCATTCCCAGCCTGGCCTTGTTTTGCGAGGAAGAGCGTCAAAATTCATGGTATCGTCATTCTGGTTCTGGATGGGGAGTGAGGGTTAGAGTGACACACATCTCTTCTCCGATGGGGATTGGAGGCTCCTACTTTTTGACCCAACCATCAAAACTCAACTGCCAGGCATCCATAGAGCCGCCATGCACAAAGCTGTCGCAAAGGTGAGGACTCCTGGTGGATTTGTGCCCGATGCCAGTGCCACAGCTTGGTCAAACTGGAAAAAAGACAAGGAATCAAACAGGATGCCTCACAGCTGTGGCGCCCGCCATGAAAACATATTGCATTACTAACTACACGCCATGCAGGAAACAGTGGGATCTCTGGGATTCGTTGGACCTCGGACCCGACGTAAGAAGAGACCTTCCACAACTGCCTGCACGTCTGTGTTGCAGACGAAACCCGACAAGGTCGGGATGGAGACCTCCAACTATGATCACTATGGTGGTATTTTGGGGTATCGTGGAGACTGCAGCAATTAGCCTGATGCACCCAAGATGCCTTTGGGATCAAAGCTTGCGTCAATTGCATTAAACTTATGATTTTTACGGGTCGACCAAAGTCATGCCTACGACCAAATGTGTTGGGCTCAAAGGTGGTCACATCCTCGAGATCTCGCCAGCTGCGATTGCCGAAGCGCTTGTTCCCGCGCAGGGCGAAGACCACGCGCTGTGCCTGGCGTGTGGTCGCACAGTTGGGCAGCACAGCACAGAGCGTCAAAGTCTGTGTGCTTTCACTGTGCTTTGGCCCTCTCCGGGATTGCACATGAAATCCACTCCCCCACCGCTTCGGCCTCGCTGCGGCACACGGCTTCCAGGTCCGAGGCCATCGTCGCCGTCGAATGGAGCCGAGTGGGGAGGAAAGCAACTGGGTTTGATATTGCTACTATGGCTTCTTGCTACTAGTAGCGTCCTTGTTACTACTAGTAAGGCACTTGTTTCTACAAGCGATGCACTTGTTCCTGGTAGCTTCTTGCTACTAGTAGTATGGCCAGGAGCCCCTAGTAGCGGTCTTGCTCCAAGTAGCGATGCCAGGAGAGGAGTGGACTGGACTGGAGTCGGGTACCCTGCTGGAATCACCGTCTTTTCGGTGACTGTAGGCGCTTGGAGGTCCGAGGTTTCTCGGTTCACCAGGCAAAGAAGAGACATCCAAGCTGCCTTTTGTAGTTTCCTCTGTGCCAGATCCGGACCTTCTGGTTGGGGTGAAGGATCAGTGGGAGTGATTAAGTTCTGCAGCGGGTTGGGCTGAACTGCTTGCAGTGGCACATGTAAGCTTGGGGATGCAAATGTTCAGCACACTGGATTTGGTCGAAAAACTCCGAATCATGCACTTGAGCCATGAAAAAACTTAGCTGCGTGGCAGCACCATTGAATTCACGGTAGTTAACCCTGTGAGGTGTCCCATCCAAAGGAAATTGACTGCAAATCAAAGTGGACCTGTGTCGGTAGGCCAGACTGCAGGACAGGGCATGCAAGTGAAAGAGCTTGGTGTACGGAGAACATACCAGCAGTTCGCAATCCTCATTGGTGCTCTACGAGTCTTTTGTCGGACGCGTGTGGTGCCGGCGCAAGCATCACCCCAGGACTACATGGACTACATTTCCGAATGGTCACGTTCGTAGTGATGCACCTTGTTACTAGTAGCGTCCTTGTTCCTAGTAGAATGCCAGGAGCTACTACTAGCTTCTTGCTCCTAGTAGCGATGCCAGGAGCCCCTAGTAGCGTCGTTGTTACCAGTTAATTTTGGTGTTGGATCGACTTGTTGCCTGAGTGGTGGTAAGAGAACGCCATGGTGCCTAAGTGGAGGCACCGGCAAGGCAATGAGGCTCCAAAGGACAACTGATTTTTGACAATTTTGATAGCACTTGTTCTCACAGAGAGGATATCGGTGAACAAATTGGCAAAATGGAATCTGCGAAAGCGCACATGCTTCTTGTAAGGTGGTCGAGGGATGTCTCTTCCTTAGGTCTGTTGGAAGGGGCGTGGTTTTGCTGGGATGGAGCTGTTCAGCAGCTCTTGGGCACGCAGAGTGGCTTCCGTGGCTTCCGCGAGATCGGATGAATACTTCTGCACCGCGATGCGAAACACCATGGAGCAGTGTGTTTGCGGCATTCTCGCTCTGAGGTTCATAGACGTGGGAACCACGTTTTACTCTATCTTTAGGTGGTTAGTAATCGGTGCCAGTGACCTGGCCACTGGCTCGACGATCGGCTGGATGAAGCGCAACAATTTTGGTGCTACCCGAGATGGAGAACGAAACGAAAATCAGTCTCTCCATGCTGAAGACTCGCTGCTTGGGAAGAAGCTGTCATCCTCCTTTGCAAGAAGGCTGACTCCTTTCCATGATCTTTGGCAAATAGCAACACTCAGATACACATCACATGCGGGTATAGTGAGTCCTTCGTCACATGACTTCATGAAGCATCCGTATTATGAAGCTTTATGGGTGTGACAGTATGACAAATCCATGGTTTCACCGACCCTTTCAATTGTCAACTGACAAACAAATAAGTCATGTGAGGCACCGATTTTCATGTGCTGGCTGGAGTGATGCTGCATACCACTCTGGATTGTGGTGGCCTCAACCGCCCTGTTCCAAGACTTGAGCTTGTGCCTCCTGTTACTACTTGCTTAATCTCCAACATAATCAATTACTCGCACTTAGGCCTGAAAACAAGAAACAAATACCCTCCTGCCCTTTCCTGTTTGTTTGTGTTTGTGTGTCTGGGTGGAACCTTGAGGCAAGCCTTAAGGGGCAGGCTGCTGAGCAACTGTGCGGCACTTGTCTGTTTCTTGTGCGCGAGCATTTTGAACCAAGCACGGCATCTGTAATCACGTTGGACCACGCTTTCGACCTCCTGGTTCCTCACGCTGCATCGGAAACACCTCCGTCAGGGCAGGAACATCGAAAGGGAATTCTGAGCCCACACCTCCGGCAAAGGGGCTTGAGAACTCCAGGGGGGCTGTAGAGCTCGTCACGTGCAGCTTTCGATGTAGACACTCACACCCAATACAACATCAAGCAACTGCAAGTCTGTAATTACTCTGTCCGGTGTTTTGCCCCCTGCCTCCATTTCAAATCCTTGTGTCAGGCTGTGGACTCGCCTGGCATGGCTCCGACAGTTGTTGATGGTATCACTTGGTCTAGCGAGTCTAGCAAGCCCAGGCAACACCCGTGGTTCATGCCGTTAGTACTTTTTACGGATGAACAGCAGATCTCCAAAGCCCGCTGAACGCCAAACAAGAGGTCAACTCAGAGTCAACTCGATTGGTCAACTCGATGGACCCCAGGCCACCGACCTGTCGACAACCGACTTCAACCGACCAATCCGGCAGCAACCGAACAAGTTGCCTGAACATCAGTTGATGAAATCCTAAAGTTGATATCGCCTGCTATTACCTGTGGATGTTCCGATTTCCTCGACCCTTGCCCGTGATCCGTAAGGCCGGCTTGCGATTCTGCTCGCACAAGCCAATGGGGCAAGTTCTTGGTGGGTCATCACTCAAAAGTGATTGAATGTTTGCCTAATCAGTCTATTCAATTCTATTCATATACAGTATATTCCATGCACATGAGACTCAGAAACCAGCTTTGTTGGTAAGATTTGAGATGAACCCATGTGATGCGATACGCGAAGAGGCACTTCTTCCACTTCAAACAGCTTTAGGCCATTGGTCTAGCCGGGCACCAGCATGACACATATTCACTCCTCATCAACCCTAGCAGCCGTAGTAAGCTCAATTCACTGGCCGTGCCTGGCAAGTAATCCTCCAAGTTCGCCTGCCCCGCTTGCACCAGAGCCGCTGCCTGATGTGAACTAACGGGCCTGTTCGTTCGCTTCCACGTAAGGTGATTCACGAATCCGCTCCCCTAAGTAAACACCCTTACTGAAGTATCATAGGTCAAGCATAGCCGATGTAAGTGGAAGAATATAGAGAGGGGTATTTGGGACAATACCTAGCTGATTGCTGCTAAAGCACGTGCACAGAAGAGGAGCCTTGCTTGCCAAAGACTCCAAGTTCAGAACAGTACATAGTTGTTCCAAACAGCTTGGCTCAAAGCTTCACCAGTTTCACACGAGATGCCGGGGCTTGGCCAAGACTTCTCAACACATTCAGATACCAGCTACCAATCTATATGGGCTCCGGATGTGTTTAACATAGAGTGCCCCCCAGATATGGAGGAATAGGCTAAAACTATCTAAGACTATTCGTTGGGTCTATCGGTCTATCCTATTACCAGTAACAGTGGATGATGAGTGTTTGTAGTAAAGGTCTTTCTCTAAAATAGTGATACTTGTTGACCGACTGTTGTAGGTAATAGGACAAACCCAAACTATTGGCCACACCTCCATATGCAGCTCCGCCGAGCGGTAGAGTGGCACCTCGGGCACCTGAGTCGTTGGACCAAGCGCGTTCTCCACGATCAGTTGGTCCCGTTGGAGGGTTGCCAAGAGCATCATCCGTACCACTTGAACCCAGTTTGCAAACTTCTACCGAGAGTTACCTTTCACATAAACCAAGACGTGGCTCTGTGTGTTGAGAGTTAATTGAATGTTGGAAATCGAGGCAGGCAAGATTCCCTGTGAAATGAAATTCCCTCAACTTCCTTGGTGTGATCATCATGAGTCAAGGGCTATTGTTGACGGACCAAATCCTCCACCATCCGTTATGTTTAAAAACACACACACAAATATATAAAAGGACAAAATGGACACTCAGTCCCGTATGAATACCAGTGGAACTGAAGGTTCTTATCACCCAAGGAGCGTCACTCTGCCGCAGGAGGAGCTCGATCTCAGTACATCCCAGGATCACACCGCCTGAGCTCGATCGAAGGAACGGAGGGCGAAGTGAGAAAGACGATGGAAATTCAGAAGTTAGGAATGCAGACTTTAAAATTGGTTTGGTGTCATGGAAGCATCATGCAACATGTATAGATCGTCTACTAGTACTTCTGTATTAAGTATTGGCTGAAATCAACAAAAATTCAAGCTGGCACGCAGAATAAGAACCTGAAAGCAGCAGGAACTTGTAAGAATTCAGGAGGAAGTGTCTATACATGCCAGAGGCTTTGACTGGCCAAGTTTGAGACGTTTGTGTTCCTTGCAGGAACCAAGCTTTTCGTGCCGAGCACCATTGCATGGCATTCTCGGTAGTGAAGCCACAGTTAATCTGAAGAGATCAAGAGCTCAAAAACGAAGGAGTGAGAAGTGCAATTTTTGTCTGAGTTCAAGCTCTACCAGAGCCGAGTTGACAGCGGTATATAGTGACCACAAACGGATGTGTGGTGCTTCTACAATCTTCTGCATTCGCATCTTCTGCAAAACGAAGACAAAGGCAAAAATGGAGGGAGACAAAGGCATCATCCAAAAGGTGCAGCCTCTTCCAACAGGCAGCCCTCTCATCAAGGAACACGGAAGCCCGAAAAGAGACGAAGAAAGATGCAGAAAGAGAGAATCACCGTTGAAAGGTAGAAGACCTTCCAAGCGCTCCATGCAAGGTGCCCATCTGACACAACCTCAATAAATTGGAAAGTAACTTCCAACTCCTCATATCTTGGCTGCGCCACATGTCTGACAATCTACAGGATCTCGACCTATATAAGAGTCTACACATCCTGGACCCTTGTGTTCTCAAATCGAGTCAAACCATCAAAGCAAATCAGGTGGGATGTTGGTTCGTGGGCCCGACCTTTAGATGGAACCGTCCAATCTCTCTACTTCCATAAGGATCTAGCCCCCCCGACAAACTCAAAATCATCGATGTCGCTAGCCGCTAGCATATGCAATCGTCCAAAAAGCACCTGATCGTGATTGCGTTAGGTTTGGGGATCTGGCAATTAAATACATGCAAAAACCTTCCAGCGCAAGCATCCAGTGCCTGGTCGGTGTTTCTTACCAGGCCAAGCCACCATCTGCACCTTCGCTGTAAAGCTGTCCTTAGGCTGAGCGAAACACCGGGCCTTTGGGATTGCGGCTGCTTCGGATGGTTTGGGCTCTGGTCGTTTATCCCATGAATTGAGCTTGAATTGAGCTTGTTCCAAAACGTGTTTGAAAGACTTCTACAAAACTTGAAGAATCCCTCAGGCTGAGCCAATCCGGGTGCCTTTTTGCAAACCATCCTCCACAAGCCAACCTGTGAAACTACTTGTTAATTAAATTTGCTGTCGGATTCTTCCTCCACGTCAACAAATCCAGTTCAACTTCCAGATTGGTTGAAGAAAGGCAGAAAGCTGATATCACTCCAGATGCGAATCAAAGAGCTGGGCTCAACCACCCGACACCACTTTCCTCCCAGGTGCTTGCGAGGTCGGCGAAGAAACTGCGGGACTCCTCCTGAAACGTCGCGTGTGTTCTCAAGTCAGGCGAGACTCTTCTAAACGTTTTACTGTTCAGGGGATGCAGAAAAAAGGAGTTGGACTGATGACTCGATGAACATTGGGTCCAAAGTGAACAATTCAAAGCACCGAACTCGGCTCAAAGCCCATGATGACTATCCATGAGACCGACTGCTGTTTGATCTCTTTCTAGCCAACTGCAGCAGTACAGTACAGGGTTACTTTTTCGCTGTGTATCGAATCCGGAGCTAGCCCGGAGCCAGTCCGGAGCCTCAGGGTCTGGTTCTGCCTCAACAGCAGTCCCCAGGCCAAGGCTCTCCGGATCCAGCTCAGGTTTCAACCCCAGAATCCTTGAAGATCTCGAAGCTCAGCTCATCACAAATGATCTGATAGCAGCGCTGCCTCGAGCCGAACCATGGTTTTGGGTCCACCGAAAGACCTACGGCTTCTACGGTGATCCCCAGCATCTTCCGATTTCTGTGAGAGATGATGAGAGCTTTGGCTTTCATGGTTTTGGATCCAACCAAGGGCGACCCGGCTAACTCCAGGTGTCTGGCAGATCCCCAGCATATTCTCATTCAATGAGATGATATGCTGGCCTTGTTGGACTTTACACCTTTGTATTGAAATCAACTCCACAGCTGAGGGGCCGATCCTCATCCTTCTGCGGCACAAGGACCTGGACCCCATGAAGTGCTAAGCGCTCCTGGCCGACTTGGTGCGGCTGTCGCTGAAGACTTAGTGATAAATCATGATAAATCTCAGAATGAAGGGCCAGACTTGGTGCGGGCAGAGTCTGGAGAATCTATGATACTCTGGGTAGGTCTTGTAAAGGAATCGTAAACTATGGTAGACTTCCTGGGTACAATGAGTTGCTGGGAGGAATCTAATGATGACATGCAGGTGGGGTCTTCTTCACTTTCCCGGGCTGGAGTTGGAAGACATTTGAAACGGCAATAGCACGACCGGGTCCTTAAAAGAAGATGATGACTCCACAACCGCACTCCCAGTCCTCTCCCAACCCATAATCACCCTCTCCATTTGGCGTGTGGAGCATGCAGCAGTTCGTTGTCCCGACCTTCAACCAGGAGCCGTCGCGCATGGTGGGCTCCGTGCCCAGCAAACCCACGCGCTTCCCAGGAGGCAACGCCTCATTCCAGGAGTTGGAACGGGCGATTGTTCAGTCACCAGTAAAATCCAACAGTTTTTTCACACACTCCTGTTGATGCACGTAAATTTATATATGTGTATGTGTGTGTGCGTGTGTGTGTGTATATATATATATACATACTGTGTATATATATACATAAACACATGTGATTTATGACCTTCACTCAATAGTTCTATCCTGTTCTATCAGCCTTGGAAAAGGCCAAAAGAACAGCCAATGTAGGGCTCTGTGACCTGTCACCAATCTCAGCCCTGACTGCACACCTTGACACGATTTCTTTCACAGGCGAGGTCCGGAGGTACTTGCTGCGGTCTAGTGGATTCCTTCAAAAAAAGGAAGTCTGAAACAACCTCACAAGTGATACCCCCTCCTACCAGAAAGTGTTTCGCAGATTTTGCAGAATGAGGTTGGAGCTATGTTGCAGGGGCTTAGGAGACTGCAAGCCTCTTATGTTGCTTGCGTCTTTTGAGTGCGCTCACACAAATTTTGTTGCCTTGCTTACCCTCACTTGGCAGATTCTAGGTTTCGCACTTTCTTGGAAGGAATTCAGGACTAAACATCTGCCGACCCCGGTCTAGGCCGATGAACATGAGCGATGTCACTCTGCCGTCACATTGACAAAAATATGCACACAAATTGACAAATGCTTTAAACTCCAGTTCGTGAGTGACCGTCAAGATTTTTTTTGGCGGGAAAAGCATTGCCCAAGATTTGGCCCCGGGTTCACCTTTTGCCAGGCCTCGAATCCTCCCTCACCCCCTATGGATTGAGGCCGGGGGCATGTTGCCGCAGGGGTCCGGGCCGATGTGTTCTTCTTGGCGGCGCACGCGCGCGCCTCTGAGTCAGCGTCCATGCTTGGCTTCACCTAGCACGCCAAAGACTGACGACCTGCGTGTCAGCACTTGGATGCTGAGGTCTTGTGCCGAACCACCAGAAGGCTTGCCAAGCCCGGTCACCGTGGCCTCGCCGGAGGCCCTTTGGTTTAAGGTTATATACAGGATTGACCCACTCGAAGTCCTGCTTTACGGTGCTTTTTGGCCTTCCCATGTTGGTGGGCTTCAGGTGGTGTGCAAAGGCCCGTCGTGCGAGTTATGCTGCCCGAGTTGCCTTCCAATATTAGCATTTTGTGTCTCTGGTTGTTCTCCTCCTCTTGCTGTTGCTGTTGCTGTTGCTGTTGCTCTTGCTCTTGCTCTTGCTCGTGCTCGTGCTCGTGCTCGTGCTCGTGCTCGTGCTCGTGCTCCTCCTCCTCCTCCTCCTCCTGCTTCTCCTTCTCCTTCTCCTTCTCCTTCTCCTTCTCCTTCTCCTTCT